ATTAATTTTATTATTAATATCATATAAATTATTTTAAACGATTTGTTTCGATTTAGTGACATAAATTATAGCTTAAGGACATTCACCATATATTAAGTGTTCAAATTTCACATAATCTCATTCTTCATCTTTTAATTAATACATACAAATAATTATAATTTATTCAAAAAAATACCATAAGAATTATTTTAATTAAATAAATTTTAAATTAAAAAATACTTTAACCAATATCTTTATCAAAAATGTTAAAAAAACCCTTTGAAAAAGGGCGGGGTTTTGAAGGTTGAAAAAAAAAAAAAAAGGCTCATTAAAACGCTTAAGCCAACGCCAACCGTCACTCTCTTCCGCAATCTCTGCTCTCATATTCCGACGGGCATTGTCACTGACCATCGCCGCCGCCGTTGCCCCCTTTCCTTTCCCACTAATCGCACCACCCGCCCCGTTGTAACCTTCTCTCTTCTTGCGACGCTCTCTCTCTCTTTCTCTCTCAATCGATCGATCGATCGATTTCCCCGCGGATTTCTTCCGATTCCCGATAACCATTCTCCGAATTCCGATTTACCCTAAAATTCTGCTGGGAGAAGCAGTGGCCTAATGGGTTCCTCTCTCTCTCTCTCTCTCGATTCCCCGCGGATTTCTTCCGATTCCCGATAACCATTCTCCGAATTCCGATTTACCCTAAAATTCTGCTGGGAGAAGCAGTGGCCTAATGGGTTCATACTTCTCGGGTACTTCAATTTTTCTTTTACTTTGCTCATGTGAAGTTTATGCCTTTTCTTAGGATTGATTCTGATTTTCTTGATATCTTGGACATTCTAAAATATCTTTCTTTTCTTGCAGCTTGTAGGAAATGACACATGCCTGCTCTTTCACTGTTTCTAAGACTTTGTAAGTGCATACTTGGTTTCAAGTTTTTTCATTTTTCTTGTTCTTTGTGAGGAAAAGTATAAAAAGAAAAAGTTTTATGTATTTTGCATTGCATAACATAACTCATTAGATGGGTCTCTGATATGGAGGGCTGTCCCATCCATTGGTTTCTATTTTGCAAGGAAACTCAAAAGTATAATAGGTTGACTCATTGTTTTTGACACTTTCTCTGTAGGATATACCTTGAACTTGTTTGCTCTTTATAATTATATCATGTTAATTGCTGTTGGATTTCAGACAGTGGGGCACTTTGGCAACTAGGAGGTCATTTTTTGGCTTGAATTGCTTCAGGAACTGTTCAGTTAGGTCTATAAGGATGGAAAACGGTAACAGTTACAATCTGAGGGGTGAGAGCAGTGAGTCTAGAGGTGCCTTGATAGTTTTTGAAGGATTGGATCGTAGTGGGAAAACTTCACAGTGTAGTAGGCTACTCTCGTATTTGGAGGGACTTGGACACTCAGCTGAATTATGGCGATTCCCTGACAGAACTACTACTGTGGGGCAGATGGTATCTGCTTATCTTTCAAACGATTTGCAGTTGGATGATCACACAATCCATCTCCTTTTCAGTGCAAATCGGTGGGAGAAAAGGTGTGTTTTGATTGCTTGTGTATTGTGTTATTGATCATCTGATGGTACACCTAGAGTATGCATGAATGCCTGCTTACAGAGTGAGTGTTGGGATCTTGGCATGTTTTTTCGGCTTTAAATTTGGCATATGTACATAGTCCACCTTGGTATTAGTTGGTAGAGTGACACTTAATTTTTGGAATCAAGAAGCCTGCTATTTTGCTAACACTACTGAAAAGAGATTCCATAATTTTGTCAGCTGTCAAGCAATTCTAAAAATTTCTAATTATCATCTTTTAGTGATAGACAAATAAATTGATTTTCAATTTTTCTGCTGATAAATATATTTGACTATCCTTAACCTATAAAATTTGCTAAAATAAAATTTTCTACACATGAAAATTTCTTTGATCTCCAGCTATTATTTTAAAATAGTTATATAGAATTAGAGAGGCACACAAGCACACTGCTAAAACTAGAAATGTAGTAAAACCTAAAGGTAATTTCCCTGGCCTGACTTTTGTAGATCAATGATGGAAGCTAAGCTGAGAGCTGGAACCACCCTCTTAGTTGACCGTTATTCATACTCTGGGGTTGCTTTCTCTTCTGCAAAAGGACTTGATATTGGATGGTGCAAGGTAAAGACATGCTGCTGAAACTATTGCAAATATGTGTTTGCTCTCTCAATATTTGAACTGTTCAAAATTAAGGTTTTCTCTTGCAGGCACCTGAGGCTGGGCTGCTGGCTCCAGATTTAGTGTTGTACCTAGATATACCACCAGAGGTCAGCTGTTGATACCATAAGGTTTTATTTTGTGATCAGACAATGAAACCCCAGAATTTGGCCCATGTTAATAAATAATTAAATATTGGTGGTGTTGCAGAAACCATTAGCCTTGCTCTGAGTCAGTTTTTTGTTTCAATTGATAAAAAATATTGGTGGTGTTGCAGAAACCATTAGCCTTGCTGAGTTAGTTTTTTGTTTCAATTGATAAAAAATATTGGTGGTGCTGCAGAAACCATTAGCCTTGCTGAGTTAGTTTTTTGTTTCAATTGATAAGCTTGGTGAATGGTTCCTTGATTTTGTGTACAGTGTACATGAATTCTGTTTCTTTTTATTTAAAAAAGTCTTTCGGCTTTCTTTTCTTAGTATCATTTGAGAACTGAAAAACCCTCTTCAAAATGTTAGAAAGCTGTAGAAAGAGGAGGATATGGAGGTGAGAGATATGAGAAGCTTGAGTTTCAGAAGAAAGTTGCCCAATGCTATAAGGTCCTTGAAGATTCATCTTGGAAGGTAATAGTTTGTTTCATCCTGTCTTTCTTAGCTATAGAGTTACTTACTGGCTTTCTGCTTCCCACTCTTGATTTGTGCCATCTTGTGGCTCATCACCAAGAATCCTGTGGTTACTCTGAAATTTCCTCGGAGCAAAATTTTCCTTTTATCGCGTCAAAGTATTTCTTTTATTTGTCTCAGTTCTAGAGAAAATATTCCAATGGTGTTTGTTGAAGTAATGGATTGCCAAACAATTTATTCACGAGTTTGTAATTTCACCTATTATTATCTTGGGGAGCACCATTTCAAAGTCTACTTCTTTTCCTGTGCTTTTGTTTATCTACTTTTAATTGCAATGATTCACAGAGGTAATGTAGATACTTTTGCCCCTCCTGAGTTGTTTGCAGATTGTGGATGCCTGCCAACCCTTAGAAGACATAGGAAAACAGCTGCAGGAGATTGTTTTTCAACAGGTTGTCACGTGCCAGAAAGGCAAACCCTTCTCCCTCCTCTGGCCATGTTAGATAATACATATCATCTTCTTCCTTAGAAGGATCCCACTGCCATCTTTTTACGAACTTGGCTTGAAGCTTCTAAAAAATGTCAAGTACTTATTATTTTATGTGTTGAGTGGTTTCACATTTATTTCCTAGACGTTAAATCTCAGGACTACTAGTGCTCTCGAGTTTTACGATGTTATATTCTTCAATGCAAGTATTTGGTATCTATCTGCTGATGAAACAGCCATTTCTGATATATCATTGATGGTCATGCTTATCTCATTCATTGTCTATTTGTTATAACAACTTCTCAATTATTTGATAAGTGGCAGTCTGGCAGAGCAACGTATTGGTCTTCATAAATAAATAAATAGATAATAATTGCACATAGAAAAGAAAAAAAATAATCTGAATGTTAAAGTGTCAATAAATTCTACCCCACTATGGCTGTAGGGTCATGTGCATTTTGGCATTGCACTCTCCCGAATCTGAATTTTCTGTGGCGAATGGTAGGTGAAGCAAAGTATGCCATTGCAATTGCACTCTCCCGAGTCATGAGCATTGTGGTTTAAAAGGATGTTCCTTTGGCGATTGTCATCTCAAGGACTGACAAGTGAGTTTAGCGGAAAAATATAATCATCTGTTAGTCATTTGGGTCTACTGTATATTTTCTCAACAGAACAAATTAATTACAACCTAACTAAATTGATATTTGTTAACTTTTAATTTTTTTTCTTGAATTAGAGTCTTTCTTATAGGCAAGCCATTTATTTTCTCAAACACCAAAAGATATATTTATATATCCATTTCTTCGAGACATTAGTGTTTATTCATCTTATTTCTTAAAAATTAAGAGGAAATTTATTTTAAAACTACATAGTTTTAATAAAGTATTATAAAGAAAGATAAAACATACTTTAATTTATATTTTAAAATAAAGTATTTTAGTGTTTTTTAATAGAGATTTATTGAAACGATATAGTTTTAGATGATTTTTCTCTTCATCTTTGAGAAAAAAGGTGAATAGGTATCATTTTCTTTCTTTATTATTGTCAATCTTTGTACATAATATTTATAACTCAAAACATGATGATAACATATGAGCTAGCCCCATCTAAACTGTCAGCTTAAAAAAAGAAAAAAAGGATTGAATTTGAATGATTATTTTTTCAGCAAAATTAAAATAAGCTTACCCAAAATTCAATTGATCTCATTATCAGTTTATCATCACCAACTATTCAACATTCCAACAAACTTAACTTCAGTCACTTCCTTCCTAATCCCAACCATTTTTTTTGGTACTTTTCCAATTTCCAGTTGTTGCCTTGTTTCAGTTGCATGACTTCTGTGTGACTGGCGGTGGTAGGTTTTCATTTTCATTAACTGGGTAGGTTTTCATTTTTATTAACTGGGTAGGTTTTTAGATTTACATAGAATTCCTTCAGCTAGACAAATTGGCAAACAGTTGGTGATATAAATCCATTTTTCATGTCTCTGAATTTCTGGGTATAAACGGAGACAAATTGAATCTCAATGGAGATTTCTCTTGCTTTCCCGCATAAAAGCTTGAAATCTATAGGGGAAGATGTTGTTGATGCAATTTTGCCCATATCGAAACTCCTCTCCATAGCTCTAGTTGGTTTCATTCTTACCCACCCAAAAATCAAACTACTCCCAAAAGCAACTCTCAAGCTACTGGGCAGGCTCGTATTTGCTCTGCTCCTCCCATGTTTCATTTTCATCCGCCTTGGTCCTAACATTTCTCTCAAGCATGTCGTCGAATGGTGGTTCATCCCTTTAAATGTCGTCATCAGCACCGTCGTCGGCTGCGTCCTCGGTTGCTTGGTGGCATTTATCTGCCGGCCGCCACCTGAGTTCTTCCGGTTCACCGTTATCATGACTGCGTTTGGAAATACCGGGAACATCCCCATTGCTTTGGTTTCAGCGGTATGCCACACCACGGATAACCCGTTTGGGTCCTCCTGCTTAGAGGGCCTTGCGTATGCAACGTTTTCTCACTGGGTTTCTGTTATTCTTGTTTATACCTTCGTTTATCACATGATGAAGCCACCACTGGAGCACCATGAGATTGCGACGGAGGCGGAGGAGGAGGAGGAGGAGGAGGGGGAGGGGGAGGAGGAGATCTTGGAAGTAGAAGAGGAACAAGTACATGTCAATAGCAGCACGCCACTCCTCGTTGAAGCAGAGTGGCCAGAAATGGAGGAGAAAGCAACCGAGCACTGCGAAACACCCTTCATTGCAATGATCTGCAACAGCTTAGCTGGAGTATCCAGAACAGATATTCACGATATCGAATCAACGGATGAAGAAAATCCAACCAGTCCCAAGTCCATCAGATGTCTGGCTGAGCCAAAAATGGTGAACAAAATCAGGATTGTTGCGAAACATACTCCAATCCGTTACATTCTCCAGCCTCCCTTGATAGTCACAGTATTAACCATAGTCATAGGAATGATTCCCAAGCTGAACACCTTTGTTTTCAGCCCTGACACTGCCTTCTCCGTCATCACAGGCAGCTTAGAGATCATCGCGGAGGCAATGGTGCCTTCACTGATGCTGATTCTGGGAGGAATGCTAACGGAGGGACCAAATGAATCTGGGCTAGGAATTCTTACCACTGCAGGAATCATCATAGCAAGGCTTCTGGTGCTTCCCTTTATAGGAATTGGGATCATTCAGTTAGCCAATAAATGGAATCTGTTGATGTCTGGGAACGAATTGTATAGATTTGTGCTTCTGCTTCAGTACACAACACCAAGTGCTATCCTGTTGGGAGCTGTGGCAGGCCTGAGGGGATATGCTCTTAAGGAGGCTTCAGCTCTTTTGTTCTGGCAGCATGTTTTTGCACTGTTCTCCCTTTCAATATACTTGGTAGTCTACTTCAGACTGCTGATTTCTTAAGTCTGAGGTTTGTTCATACATAATTCTCTGAATGCTCTGTTTAGGATTTGAATTTGAGTACAGGGCACTGAAAGAAAAAAGGTGGATTTGAAATCTAATTGAAATAAATTGTGTATTACCATAGAAAAAAAGAAAAAAAAAAAAAAGAAAACAAGGGAGAAATACATTGTTGTGTGTTTCATCAAGGGAGAAAATCCCACATTTCACAAATATTTTTGGAATCTACATATTATTGGGAAGGATGAGATTAAGTATCATCTGAACTAGCAAAAATATTACTTTAAAGAAATGTGTGCTTAAACAAAGGGGCTAGTTAATTTCGTTGGAGACCTTAGTAATGTTCCTGGTGCTCTTTAACTTCTTATGGCAATGACCCAACTTCACCCCCATCGTTCAGTTTCATCCAAAACAACATATCCCACTAGCCACTGACAGAACCTTTATCCAAACCCCGGCCTTCATTCCCAAATCCTTAATTCAATTCCACCAAGACGACCACCAGTCCACTAACAAATAACATCTCGCCTAGACACTTCAAACAATTGTTGTTTTAAAACGAGGCTCAATGGACCTTTCACAACATCTACCCAACTCAGCAGAAGCAGGTAGATGTAGATTCTATCAGCGGTTCTGCAGGAGGATCTATCCATAATCCATAAAGCAGAAGCAGATAGATGTAGATTCTAACAGTAAGAGACATGAAGATAGTCATGTCTGAACGATTAAAGGCATTTCATCTCTCCATATGTTAGGGAAAAAAGAAATAAAAGAAATGCAATAACAAGGCCAATTGATTAATTGATTAAATAAAAGAGAATATAACTGAAAGTAAATAACATTAGAATGTCACAAGACTTTGTGGCCACAGGTTACAGACAAACAATAGACGCATAAGATAAAAGACTCTGGAAGAAACCACAACACAAAATGACACTTTAACAACTAGAGTTCTGTGGCAAACTCCAAACCAGAACAGACCCAGTGGACCACTCTTTATTTGTAGTACCAGCAGCACAAATGAAAAGCTAAATAAAAGACAACAAACCCATTGACAACATACAACGTGAGAAGAAACACATCATTCCTCCTCAGATTCTGATTCAGCACTCTGGAGCCAATCTACAAAGGGCTTAGCATTCTTCCATATCTGAGAATCTTTGTTTCTCCCTTGAAGCCCCTCCTCAAACCACTTTACAACGAACTCTTCCTCCAACACATCTGCATCATAAAGTTCTTTCAAAACTAGAGCAACTTCTTTCAATGCACCAGAGTTGGTCTTTCCACAGAATGCCTCGATTGCTTTCAGCAAAACTAACTGTGATCCTCCATCCTGAGCAACTGCAGCAGCCAGATAGTTCTTCTTCTTGACCATTTCCTTTGCAAAACCTTTCTCCACACCATCAAAGAGTGCCTCTAACAGAGCAGTCGTCTTCTCCTCAGCAGATCCAGAAAGAGAACCCAAGATGGACTTCAGTTGGTTTGCAGAAACTCCTTTCTTCAGGTCTGCTTTCAACTCATCAACAAGGGTCTGATGCATGCTTGATTTCCCATTCTCAGCCTTCAGACTCCCTCTGTGCACTGGAGAAGTGCCAGTAGGACTCCCATCTACCTTAGCAGCCTTTGCCTTTTTCTCTGATTCATCAGTAGAGAGCATTACCATATCAGCTGTTACAGCACTCAGCTGTTGCTGAACACGCTGACGAGCAGCCTCAAGCGATGTATCAGTTTGCCACTGAACATCATTGTCGTCCTCATCATCATCAGCATCTTCCTTGTCACCAGCCTGGCTGTGTGTTGGTGATATGCGATCTTCATCAGACCCACCAGCTTTCTTCTTCACAGAGCCAGTTTTGTTGGTGCCTTCCTTTTTCTTTTTTCCATCTTTTTTCAATTTTTTCTGCTCCTCATCAGCAGCATCACCTTCCTTAAGCCGCTCCTTTTCAGCCCTCCTTAATCCCTTTTTCTCTTTTGATCCCTTCTTCTGTTCAGGAGGGTTCTTCAAAATGAATGTTGTTAACTTTTCCCTCATATCAACATCTGAGACAAAACCACAAGCAGCACACTTCAACTGTATCATCTGACTCTTGGTAATCAAAATCTCTGTTTCAGGGTTTCCACAACCATAACACTGTACATATTTCTTAATGAAGTTCTCAAGGAGACCAGCGAGCTTAGTAGTGTCATGTGATCCATTAACAAGGGAAGTCCCGGTTTTATCATCAAATTTAGACTGAGCACCAAGCTCACAACCAAAATACTTGGTTGTGTAAGAGGCAGGCCTCCCCAATGCCTTTGCAACATCAACCATGTTGACTACATTGGTTTTGATGCCATTCCCCCGGCCTTCAATTTTGGTGATCATTTTTGGCATTTTATACCTGTAGAAGGCATCATCGCTATTCCCAGCACCAATGTTCTGCAAAGCCATCTTGATTAACAATTCAAAATGGAAACCCTTATTGTTACAGGCAGCAAATACCAGAACTCAAAGTAAAGGCAGCAATATCTTCCTCTATAGCTTTATGGTAGACAAGAGAAGACAAATCCTCAGAAATCAGGAAAGGTTGCGACCAGCTGCAACCGTGAAACTCAGAATGTTCCCGAAATGGCCCGAGATGCATACAGTCAAATTTGGCTGGCAAAGGACTGTTCTTTTTTCTGGCTAGAGGACGATATTCTCCAAGCAACCCAATAGATCCCAAGGAGTGAATGGCCTGAACGGACATAAAAGAATCTTCAGCGTTGACACCCTTCACCTTGAAAATCTGCTGATTGCAGCAGCACCTACAAATCTCAAACAAAAGATGCAAAGTAGGTTAAAAGTTGCAACCAGCATAAAAAAGATGCCTAGAAAATAAAAATAACAAATCATGAATGACAAGTCCAAATTTATGCCCAAAAAATTGCAACCATTAAATTGATGCACCTACTCTTGCAAATTTCCAAACTACCCACCGTAACAAAAACATAAGAAAACCCAAAGACATTTTATTAATGCAGCAATACTTGATTTCTCTACATGCTCATGATCTCTAATTACAATCCTTGGCAGCTTTGAGCTTTCTTTATTTTTTTAATTTTTTTAAAATTTTTTTATATCATACAGCTGAAAAATCTAGAAGGTACCTCATTAAGGTTTAACAAGCTCTAGCAGAATCTAAAACCTAAAAAATTTGTAGGAAAATTTCATCACCCAAGCTTCATCTGCTAAATATCTTCCCAGTCACCTTCGATTAACCAACTACTTTCCATATTGTCTCTTTTTCAATTTTTTTGCTACCAGAAAATTAAACGATAATAATAATAATAATCAGAAAATAAAAGATTAACACAAAATGTCAATTGCAAAAACAATATTCCTAAGATTGGATTTATTATTTGCTCAAATAATCTTTTTTTGGATTTATTATCTGCTCAAATAATCTTTTGATTATATTCATCCAGATCAATAAAAAAACAATCTCGATTATAAAGTATGAACAGATACCGCATCAATCAAATCACAAAAAACAAACATACAGCTAACGAAATCGAAACATAAATAAACCGAAAAGCATAGATCTAGAAGAAATCGGAGCTCAGCTAGGTTTACCTGACGTCGAAGGATCAAGATTCTCTGCGGAAACACGAGAGAGGATGACTCGAGGAGAGATGCAATTAGGGTTTTGGAATACTTGATGCTTAGTTGGGGGCGAAGGAAAGGCAACCCTAGGGATTGTTTATATAGGATTGGAAGTGAAGCGAGGAATGGTTGCGTGGGACAGGGAACAGCCTAGATAAGGTGCTGTGTCATGTGGTTTCGGCGACGGCCCTTCGTTTTCCTTTTACCGACTTTATCAGAAAAATCCTTCGTTTTACCAAAATATCCTCGATCATTATTATGATTCCAT